GAGAGTCCTACATCTTGACTCAGAGGCAATAGGAAGTCCACTGACTGTCTCACTGAGGGAAGCCTGAGAAAAAGATCTCAAAGCCTGCCCCTACAGTGAAACATTTCCAACAGGAGGTGTGGCACAGATTAAAAGTGTGTCCTCCAACCTCAAGGTCTGGATTAAAGGCATGTGTCATCCAGCCTGCTCCAACAAGACCACAGTTCCTCCAACAAGGCCACGCTTCCTAATAGTGCCACTCTCTATGAACTTATGGGGGCCAAATACATTCAAACCACTACAAGGTCCCAGAGTCACGTAGAAAGGACACTCTCCAAACTGTTAAGCTACCTGCAGCCTGTGCACTGTGTGCCAAGTTCCCAGCTTTGGTGAACTATCAGTTGTCTTTGAGTCATTTCTACTCCTAAAAGTTACACCTGGACCATATTCCTGTAAATAACCCCAATAAACCCCACTGGTTCACCAAATTAGTGTTATCTATCTATACTTTGGTCTGTTGTGAGTTCCCTGTGTGGAGTGAATAGACATGTGTGTTGCATCTTCCCAGGAAAAATTCTGCCACACAACACAAGTTAACAACTGAAGCTAACTATGACTTCTCCAAATACCAACATGTTAGTCAGATATAGGTGGTTTAGGTTAAGTATTTCACATCTTGGCTCCGATCCACTATGGCACTTTTATACTCCTGAAGCGTTCTTTGCCCTCTTTCCATAGCTCAATGATCAGAGACATTCATTGCCCATGGATTATTGATGCTACAAGTCTCAGGATTCTGGGTGTCTAAGTTACAAATGAATATTTGTTAGAAAATGATCTTCCTTGAAAAAAGACCTGAAGCTCTGTGATGGGGCTTTTGGCATAATTATTGTGAGATGTGCTGACCATGGGATAGGGCAAACATAAAGTGTATGGTGTTGAGTAATATGCTAATAGAACAAAGACAAGGACTTCCTGTGGCTTTAAAACTGTAATTGCTCACTCAGCCCAAAGCAATGGGAATAGGTGAGTAATGCTTCCTTCATGCCTCTACCTGCATAGTGAAAGTGTTTACTGTTAGCCATTTTCTCTTCTTCCCTGTTTGCGAGTAATATTTGTATAGCCTTGAAATATATTCAAATCTGTGAACATGTATTTGGAGTGTGCATGCCTAGACAGTTTTTTTTTATATTGAAGAAAAAAAAATCTTACAATCCTGAGACTGTGTAAAACTTTTCAGTACTTAGAAGTGAATTTAAGGGTGGTCCAGTTATTTTTATTGCTTTGATCTTTCCCATTTATATAAAAGTCAATGGTCACCTACCAATGAAGCAATTATGGTTCTGCCAGACATTTCTGAGGTGTCCTAGAAGCTCCTGCCTTCTTATCCACCTTGTGGTTTCACGTAAATTGTGAAGCACTACACTTGCATTCAGCTCACCAGTAGAAGTTGTGCTGACAAAAATCAAGCCAACATCTAACTAAGCAGTTTGCTCCCATAGGGCACTGATAACCTCTGTTCAAAGCTCCTGGTAGACTTTGCTTGTTTTCACTCCAATTTTTTGTTACTCTTTTGAAAGCACGTATCATCTTACATAAAATTATCAACATCAACTCAAACAGGAGCCCTTCCCTGCTATATGGAAATCTGCTGCTTTGAATTTTTCCCCTGTATGAGGTACAGGGCAGCACCAGCATCATCATGGCTCCAGTTTCAGCTAACAAAATACAGGTCCTTCCAGAAACTCAAGTGCAGCATATGATGGCAAAACTCTGCTCAAGTCTAGGTTTTGGTGGGCTGAGTCAGACTGTGACCTTTAGACGAAAGAAAAAAAAAAAAAAAACCCTGGTAGACGTTAAATTCTTTCCATAAACTAGCCCAGTGAAGAGTATCTGAGTCAGGCAGATTTGGGCTCAAATTCTTACTTGACAGTTCTTCAATCTAAGAAGTTCCCTCATATCTAGAGCAATGGGACCTTCAGACATCACTAGAGTTGTGTAAACAGCAAGCACAGCATCTGCATACTTCCCCCTGGAAACCTTCCACTCCTAAGGAGTTTCTTCTCAACCTGCTTTCAGCCATGCTCCTCCAAACACAAAGGAAACTGGATTCAGCCAGTTCCTTCAGTCAAGAAACATCTATAGTTGCTTGATTCTGACATGATCCCTAATAGTGCAAGCTGAATGTAGAGCAAGAGTGAAAATGACAGACCAGTACTTTTGGTTCTGACACTAGTTTCCTCAGAAAGTGGGAAGTGGGGTGAAATCAAGAGCTTGTCATGGAGCAGTGTCAGTCAAGGGTCCCTCCTAGAATGTGCAGCTTTCTCTTCTCCTTGACAGCTTTCTTAGGACTTAGAACCTAAACTGGAAGATCTCTTCAAACAGTGACAGCTGGTGGCCGTACTAAAATTTCCCTACATGTGCTAGGACTCCCAAGAAGAACAGGAAATGGGAGGGCTCACCTCTTAGGACATAGTGTGCACTAAGAAGTTTTGTGAGCTTGAGGTCCATGCTTCACCTGGGTGACGTGAGGGCTGAATTCTGATTTTACTCATGACTGTCTTTATTCTGCATGGGTGGGTCTCTGCTTACTTCTCCAGATGCCTACCTGATATTTTGTTTTGGTCCTTCATGAACACCTGTAAGCGGGCCCACATGGGAGCACCTAGGGTACCTAATGTTGACACTGCAATCCTGAATTGCTAAGCAGGTTGAAAACACATCTCCAAGTCCTGACATACTGTCCTCACCGACCACAGGATAGGTTAGCCTGTTGTTTGTACTGGAGTGTGTCTGAGGAGTAGCCTTAAAATTATACTGGGAGAAACACTCTACAGTTTGTGATACTGACCCCTTTATTATTTGCCTAAGTTGGAAAGGTGTACTCTTAATAAATAAATACAGAGGAAGCATATTAGTTCCTGACAAACAACCAACTAGATATAGGTTGTCTTGGGCATCATTTGTGAGTACTTTTTCTTCAGTGTAAACTTCAAAGTTACACAACAGATAATTTAGTGTACAGATTTATCTGCCATTTAAAAAGGTATGCTTCTCTTACCTTTTGATTCTCTTTATATGATTTGGACTTTAAGATCCATTTTTGGTTCAGGCATACTATATTAAATAGAAACCATGAATGAAAAGAGGCTATAAATTCATAAATCAGATATCTAGCATCACTATTCTCTCCTTACCTTGCTTTGTTTCTTTCTTTACATGTTCTCTGCCTTCATTTCTATAATTTATCTATGTCAATACATTCATCTGTCCATCGTCTCTCTTCCTTTGTTATCGTGTTTCACACTGAAATTGGGGGTGTGTGTGATGGGTTAGGGAGCTGGGTGAACTTCAATATCAGCTTTAGTACTGGAATCCTCAGTATACACAGGTGAGTGAATTCTCTCATTGTCATCAGTGACAGCCTAAGAAAGTAACTTTTAATAAATAGCACTGTTGTTTTCATACCACAAAAGTGGATAGTGGGTATCTGAAATTTAAAAATCTTCAATTTCCTTTTCTGGCAAAAGTCTTAAGTAAGTTCAAATTGAGCACCAGGTCTACTGAAGCCAGGATCCAGGCAATTCTGACCTTGTAGTTCAGATTCCTAATTGCTAAGAAAAAACAATTCTATTTTCATTTAAGAATTTTTAAAAATTGTGTGTATGTGTGTTTAGTTGAGTGAGCTTATATGCATCACATGTGTGCATGAATGTGTGAAGGCCAGAAGAAGGTATTGGATCCCTTGGATACTGTTCAGTGTAGGCATAAGTCATAGCAAGACTGAAAGTGAAACCAGCCTGGCTTGGTCAGTGCACCAAGAAAGACCAGACTTCCTCACCTTCAGGTTCAAACATACCCAGCTGTGTTGGACAGATAGGAAACCAACCTAAGGAATTCACCGTAACCTCCCCTTGAGTGAGCTAATGATAAGGTACAAATAGTGTATTCATTTTATTTTGATGTTCATTTTTTCAGTGATAGATGCTAGTACTAAAACATGAAAAGAAATATTTTTAAACAAATAATTCATAACATATTTAAAGAAAACCAAAGAGCTAGATACTCTAAAATAGTTTTACTGCAACCATATAGTAAATATATACATATATGGGAGTGCTAAAGCTTCAAACACTATGCATCTCCGTTGGCCAACTCTTGAAAGGCTTTCCTTTGGTGAGGAGAAGATCACAGTACCACAATCTTACTTCAGGATTGCCTCACCTGTTGGAAGTCATAAATCAAGGTCAAGGCAGCACCAACTGTAGCATTATGTTAGACTCTGAACTATTGGAACAAGCAGAGACCACGAAGTCAGCTTCCCTTCTACTGCCAGAGAGATGTGGATATAAACATTTGCATAAAGAATGAAGAAAATCCCTAGCACATTTAATCTGGATACTGCTACTGTATTCACATATAGCAGTTCAAAAGGCCACTGTCGAATGATTATCATTACTATCTTTCTTGTTGCCAACATATTTAATTGCATTATTTATATGCTATTCTTTGTAGCAGTAACTTACTTAATACACAGGTGAAAAAAGTATAAATCCCATGCCTTCTTAACTGCTGAGTCATCTCTCCATCCCCCAAATTTTTCTCAAGACATTCACATATATATAATGGGACACCTGAAAATAATGAATTGCACATACTGAAAGATCTTTTACAAATTGCTGTCATCATGACACCTTTTAAAATTAAGTGTTGTACAGTGACATGCATAACAGAAGCACTGGTGGGGTAGCACAGGGCACACTTCCCAAGCTATCTTGAGAGGCAAAACCCCAAACATGTCATCTGTGACATATTTGAAATAAGTCTCACAGAGCTCCACTTGCAAACAAAAGATAAACATTCAAATAAACAATATGCATGAAAAGATAACAAAAGAGAAAATTATACAAAAATGAAAGAAAAGAAACCCACTTGAGGACTAGAAAATATAAAAGGAAATATTTTTGTAACTAAAAACTACTCTTAAAATAAAATTATAGTTACACCTAATATATTTTTAACTAAAAGCAAGGACATTTCAAAATGGAATGACATAAAATATTACCATTTAGAAATTTCTTCCATACTCTTTTTTCAGATCTCATATTTTAAGATTAAAGAATACATTTTGAAAAAATATAGTAAACTTTCAAATAATTGGCTAACAATTTTTCTTTGAGTTGTTGTTCACACATAATTCTTTCAGAAGATATTGAATCTAAAATCATTTTACTGTGAATGTTACAGACAAGTTCATAACCAGGGGCCAGTAACTTGTTACCCATATTCAGAACCTAGCACCTCTCAAACCCCAGAAGCAGCCTTTGCTTCCAAACATATCCTCTGCAAGCAATGAATTGATGCTAAACCTAATTCCATGGTAAGTGAAGTGGAGCCAGACCTCAGGCCAGGGAAGTGCTCCTTATGGGTAAACCAGTTTCTATCCCCATTAGAAAGTAAGAATGAGGGTGTTATGGAGCACATTCTATTGGGAACACTGTTAAAGAACTAACAGAAAGACTCCATGAATATTGGCCAAATCTCAAGAAACTGACCAAGTACAAAAAAGGACTTTTCTTTTTAAAGCAGGATCTCTATTCCCATGAATCTCCCAATGGGTGTTTCCACATACTTATGGCCTAGAAGAAAGTGACATTAACAAAATGAACATGAAGTCCTCAAGTAATTTTAAATGTCCTCTTCAAATCATTACAAAAGACTATCAGTTGTATAGTATGGGAATAACTACAGTTTAGTTATAGTAAAGGTTGGAAACCAGTGTGTGTGTGTGTTGGGTGTTTGTCTCAGCCATAGCACTTAAACAGAATACCTCTTTGTGCTCAGAACGTTAAGTGGCATAAGTTAGTTGCAAAGAGCATACTATTGCATCCATGCTTGATTTCATACTTTCTTCTTTTCTTTAAAAGCATCTATTTACAGATTATCAAAATACATTGCAGAAACTGTCAGTAAGTCAGGTTAAAAAAAAATGTCCTGAAAATATTTTCCAACAGCTGTCATTTCTTCAGCTGCCTTTTGAGATATACTCTTATAAGGAGAATGCCTCTCATAGCTACTAACATCTCCCTTCCATCTTCACCACAGCACTTCACCATGGCTAATACACAAGCTTGTCAACAGAGTACTTTATTCCTAGAGAGCAGCACTTATGTATTGTTGGGGTACATCAAACACATGCCTCATGAGTCTCTTCAATTTAAGGATCCCTTCATCACTGGAAAAGTTTGCTTCCTGTGGAGAAAACAGAAATGAGCCATGAGTAACATCTTGTCTGCTATAAAATTTTCAACAGAATATGGCCTCTCCTTTCTTTGGTTTTATAATAGTTCTATTATTTTAAAACATCTTTTTGTGTTTTAAATTTTGAAAAAACCCTTTATTTATATTAAAGAGAGCTTTTATCTGGCTTCTTTGATAGACAAATCTCTCTCTCTCTCTCTCTCTCTCTCTCTCTCTCTCTCTCCAAGCCTTTTCCTGGAATTTTGAAATTTTTCTTTTCTTTCAACAACTCATGGGGTAGAATACTGACAAAATATTCCACCTAGGAATACTGGCCTAGGGCTGGACAACAAAACTGAAAACAAGGTAGGCTGTCCAGTGGAACACTTGAGGCAGAGATTCCATCCTTTTCAAATACTAGTATCTCCAATAAGACCAAGTGCTGACCAGGAAGCAGGAAAGGATGACCTCAGTGCCTTTGGGTCACTTGTTTGCTTATACTCTGTTCCTGGAGACAGCTGTAGAGCTCCCAGTGTAGACCAAAAAGTAAACAGAGTACCTGTCTTCCAAATATGTGACACAATTTAGGGCTTCACAGGTACCCTTTCTTTACAAAGGGGAAATGTGAAGGTGGCTGTGAATATTTGATTTTTTTTTGTCCAAAAATCAAGCCATGTTTATCTCTAACTATCCCAAAGGACAAGTTATCTCTATTATGCTAGTATAAAAACTAGCAATTTGTATATTTTATTTTTAAGAAGTCAGAAAAACCTGACAGGATGATATTGAAAACCATAAAATGGAAGGTCAATCCTCATGATTTATACTCTGGGAAACACTATTAAAATTGTCCATGTATGACCATCCATCTACTCACATGTCCTTAGGGGGTGGTGTGAAAATTCTATGAACTGTATGCAGTTATGCCATTTTCAATTTTATTCCACTGGGTAAGAAACTTATAAACTTGTACTTTAATTCTGAGTAGGATATTTTATTATAAATTATGTCTCTGCCTACTAAATGAACAAAACATTTATTAATATAAGTGGTTGTCAACCATAAAATTATTTCCCTTGCTACTTCATAACTGTAATTTTTCTTTCTTTTTTTTTTTTATAAGATTTATTTATTATGTATACAGTGTTCTGCCTGCATGTATGCATGCAGGCCAGAAGAGGGCACCAGATCTCATTATAGATGGTTGTGAGCCACCATGTGGTTGCTCCAAAGGGGTCTACAACCCACAGATTGTGAACCACTGATGTAAATGACCTTTATAGTCTTTCACTTATAAATCCCACCTTTGTTCATCTCAAATATTCTGTAATTTTCATAAAATCCTATTTCAACACAAATGTAATTGGGAAGAAAAGCTAGAACCACATGTGCATACTTTGCCGCAAGCTTTGGTGCTAGCCACCTGGACTTGTGTAAGTGAATGGAGCTCTGATCCCAAACAAATACCAACTCAAGGAGCTGGGAATGCCCAAGAATGTCACTTCATCTTTCCAATGTTCCAGATATCTCTGCAGTGCTGTGCAGCAAGGCTGCTTTGTGGGTCAAGGGGAGTAAGTCTATGAGGTAAATTTCATGTGGTGACTGCTAAAACCATCTAGAAGCCTTGAGAAAATCTGGGTGAATATCCTCTTTAGCTTATCTGTATGCCATCTTGTTACCTCAGTATTATTTATCTCATGGCAATTTATGTTTTCTTACTCCTCATTCTAATAGGCAATTTTTCTTCTCTTGTGTTTCACTCTCAGAACAAAAATATACAGATTATTGACTACACAGAAAATAAAACACAGAAGCTGAACAACCTTTCTCTATCTCCTGTCCTTTTATAGACAAAGCAAGTCAGCCCTAACATACGTGCATATGAAATGGGCCTTTGCTAGTTCCTTCTCTCTACACCCACTCTTCTACTACCCTCCTCGATGCCCCAGTACTCACAGCTACACCATGGTATACCCTTGCCATCATTCACATATCTCAGATTCAAAGGCAATTTTGTGAAAATACAAATTGATGTATTTTTCTGTCATTCTTCTTGTTATTGCTTGTATACATTCCTTGGGGACTTGTACTGGTGTAATATGCAAATCTTCAATAAATTATAAAAAAGAACTTAAGTTTGAGCCTTCTGAAATCAAGAAAAATTAATTCACTTCTTACTATTTTTATATCTGTATAAAGACTTCTCAACAGCTTGTTCATAAACACAAGTTGGCTGAATATAAGCATCTAAGTTTCTGGCCCATGAGATTCCACTTTCTAATAAGGTGTCTTCAGTTAGTATTTATCTCAGTGCCAGAAAATGTAATTTTTTAAAAATTCTCACAGTAACTTTCTCTCAAAGCAGAATCTTTTTTTTTTTTTAAAAAAAAAAAAGCTGTTAAAACGTTTAAATGCCTTGTTCTCAAAAACACTCCTATAAAAGTGTCTTCTCCTTCCTACTCCCAAGATACATTAGAAACAAATCAGAAGGAGGGAAGGTGTGCAGCCTTATTGCCTTAGTACAAGGTGAGGCCAGAGAAGTGTGTGGTTACTTCCTGAACCAGAAGGTGCTTACACTTCTGTATTATCATCAGTGGCACACACACACACACACACACACACACACACACACGCACACGCACACGCACACACACACACACACACACACATGCACACACACATTTTCTTGGTAAAGGAGTACCAAGTTCTCAAGATCTCAAAGCCTGGGGTGGGGTGGGGATCCCCTAGAGCCTTCCTTTCTGCTGGAAGTGAGATATCAGGACTTATCGGGTGCTGAGAATGCACTGAGGACATCAAAGCGTTAACTTAATGACCTTTCCAAGTACTCAAATTCAACACAAGGAGGGCAACTGGGTATCTTCATACTGTAGGCGCTGTATTCTAACCATGAGCTGTGATTGGCCAGCACCTAGGTTAGCCAACACATATAAGCACACACCCCACCCTCCAGCTTCCTGGCACTAACCTGAATCAGATGTCAGTCAGGCAGGTCCCTGCAACCTCTGACTGGGGGTTTCTTTGGCCTTCTTGCAGGTGAACAGCCACTTTATGATACGGGCGTTCCTTTCTACCACAGAGGTGGTGCTAGGCACCTGTTCAATGAGCTCCTCTTCTTGCAATCCGTCCTCGCTACGCCTGGAGAAGCTACTATCAGAAGTAGCCATGCTTACGCTACGCACTTTGAGTGTAACACAGTCGGATCCAGCAGAGAAATTCTCCCTCCCAAGAGCCTCCACCACTTCAGGTTCCAGTCCGCAATACAGGAAGAAGGTGTCGGAGTCGGACTCAGCCCTGGCTATCGAGTAGCGGGAGCTGAGATCTGACTGAGAGCGCTGCAATCCTCTGCGACGCGACACCCGTAGCTCCATGCCGGAGGGTGCGACTGGAACCTTAGACGCCACCTCCAAAGGCACGTCAGGGTACTTCATGGTCACTACAGGGGCCGGAGTTGGTAACATAGAAGCTGGGCTAGTGGCTGCCGCCTGGCCGAACTTGGTCCAAGCGGCCTCTGTTTCCTTCGTCTTGTCCTCACCTGACTCCCCGGTCGTCTCAGGGGCCACTGGCATTTTGTCCTTGACAGACCCCTGGAAAAATTTCTTCACCAGCCCCCCTCTGGAAGAGTCTGCGCCTGGCCCTCGGACGAATTCGCATTTTTGTCGGTAGATGACCAACGAATCGGGTCTCAGAGGCTTACGAGAGAGAGCCCTGCGGGCTACAGGAGCTGGGGCAAGAGCCGAAGGGATTGGGTTGTGGTGCTGCACCCCTGGGGCCTCAGGGACCCTGCACTCTGAAACAGGACCCCGGCTGGATCTTGGCGTGCTACGAACATACTTGGAGCGGTCTGCCGCTAGTCTCTCCACCGCGCTCTTGCACGCTGGCTGCGCGGTGTGAGTGTCCTCTGCTGCTCTGGGGTCCTGGAGAGGTGGTCGCATTCTGGGAAGCGCGTCCACAGCCCGCAGGGCCCGCATTCTTTCAGGACCCGAACCCACTGTCGTCCAGTAGAGCTCACTCCTTTTCCGGCGCCAGTCAGTCCGAGTCAGTTCCGAAGTCCGAAAGGGGTGGGGAAACACGCCCCAGGGCCCCTCCGCCCAGATCCGGAGTTGGGGCGAGCCAGAAGGGCCGGGAAAGGTGAATCACTCCGGCGCCAGCTCGCTCCTCCCATGCAGGACAAGGTGCCTCCTACACCTGGTGTCCCCGCCTGGTGGCCCGCAGCAAGGTGTCCCCGCCCCCTTGTCGTTTCTGTTTCCCGGGCCGCCACCCTACCCCTAGCCTCCTGTCAGGTGTCCTCTCTCTTTTGTCTCCTACGGACTATTCCCCATCTTCCCTAGCTCCAGGAATACCCCACCTTCTAACCTCCAGCCACTACTCCCAAACGTTCTCCTCTGTCCCCTCCCCCACTTTCCTATGGGAGGGTGGAACAGAGAAAGGCTGCTAGGGACCAAGCCTGCTCAGTGCCGGATATCTGAGGCTTCCTTCCAGCTCCCAAAGTCCTTGAGGTCTTTCCTTGCTAGGAGTTCTCGATTCCAGAGATTAGGGCAACGAAACAAACCATCCCTTTTATAGCCTTGCCTGTCCCGGAATTCGCGCTGTAAACCAGGCTCGTCTCAAACTCACAGAAACCCACCTGCCTCTGCCTCCCAAGTACTAGGATTAAAGGTGTGCTCCACCACTGCCCGTTCTTTTAATTCTTAAGTGATCTCATCAGGTTTGGAAATTTTCTGATTTATTTCTATAGTTTCTATACACTATTTGAAGAGAAGAGTATATGAAAGAAAAAGAAACATTTTCCGTGTCAAAATCAGTTGGAAGAAACCAAGAGCCTCCTGAGACTTGGCTTAAATCCAGAAGTCACTGGCTGGTACTGCAAGTCTCATTGCTTTTGGAGAAAACCCCTAACACCTGCAAGAATCACTCCTTCTTGTACTAATCCAGGTGATGAGAAAACCTAGGGTTCACCAGGGAAGGAAGATCAAAATAAGAATGCTGAAAGCTTAAGAGAATATTTCCAAAATTCCATCTCTCAAAAAGTTGGACAGAAGACTAAAACTATCTGCCAGACAAGTCAAGTGTAAGTTATCTCCTGTGTGGAGGCCAGTTTCAAGTCTTGCTGAAACTGTCTCAAGTTGCAGTTAAATGCTCTGGACACAAAATTGCAGGATTTAGTCCAACTGTTTCTGTAAACTAGTTGAATGCCATTGCACACAACAGCAGGAGCACAGAAGCCTTGCTAAAGAAGAAAAGATCATGGCAAGTGTGTTTAGTGAGCTCCAGGGAAGAATCACATGGGGACCCAAGTCAGCTGAAAATCAGACTGTCCATATAGCCTATTTGGAAATGAAATACTTTTTCTCTTGGTTGGAAAAAAAGGGAGGGTACTCAGTAACTTATGGGGTGGGTAGAGACATATAGAGAAAAATATGAGACAGAAGACACCGAATGGGTATGCTTTCTCCAACACAGTCAAGGAGGTCCAAAGTCTAGCTTTTTCTCTGCCCATCAGGCCAGATACTACACACCAAGTCTGGTGTCTAAGTCAGAGGAAGCAGCTCTTTTTTTTTTTTTTTTTTTTTTTTTTTTTTGAGGGGAGTGAATGCCTCAAGCAGCAGCAGTTAGAAGAACTATAAACACACATGCCTTTGATATGTCTGAACTTGGCCTCACCATCACTAACTACATATTTTTGGAAACTTCTCTTGGGCCTTTGCTTTTTCATCTGCTAAACTTGTTCTCATAGTTTGCAATGTCCATTCAGATTCAGAAGGACTGAGAAGTATGATATAGCAGGTAAGGGCTTGGTCTGTATTCAGCATCCTTAAGAAACTGGAACACAGGACTTTGTGCCTCTAGTCGTGTACAGTACAGCTCACTATGTCCATCTGCTAGTTTCCTAGTTAGTAAGATGGCTTATGTAAAAACCTTTGCATTGGGCACAGAGCAAATTCTCAATGTTAATACTTATTGTTAATTGTTATTGTTTTATAATAGTGATTATAAGTTAGTCAACTATTTTCCTTTCCAAAGAAAGAATGGGTTAATGCTCCCATAACTGCTCTAATGGCTTTTCGTAGAGAGGAGTAGAGAACAGTTGTATAGTCACTGTAGCCAAAAGCTGGATTGGCCATGCATGCAGTTTCAGGAGGCAGGCCAGATAAGGCATGACACGTCATTAGTGGAATATTTTGCAACCATTTACAGTTAGCTTTCCCTAGCCCTTAGACTGGGAAATTGGCATGGTATAAGCAAAAAATTTTAAATATCAAAGATTTAGAAACATTCTTCACCATATGTCCTACCTAGCACTCTCTTGGCCATAGCCTATAAACCATTAGAATAAGTCATTATATATAGTGTGTGTGTTCTATAAGTTCTTTTCCTCTAGAGAACCCTGGCTAACACACCCTGTCTCAAAAAATTAAAAATAAAAATGAAACAAGAAATAAAGAAACAAACAAAAAAATAGGAGTCAACTGAGAAATTGAATGAACTAGATTTATGTGTGTGGACTTTAATAAATCTGGAAAAACATTACTCAGAAGTTAAATTACAGAATATTTTGTTTTTGATGTTCAAATACATTTAAAACAACATGTAACTGTGCATATACAAATGTGAGGAATTATACAAAAATATGACATGACACTGCAAATTAACTATAGATAAGCTATGTGGGGAGAAGAACAATGAGGCAGGAGCTTCAGTTTCAGTTGCATTGTTTATTTCCAGGAAAGAAAATGTTAAGAAAAGCAGGGGAACAAATCAGTGCCCCTGTAACAAACCTTTCATGCAAAAATCATTTACTAGTTTCCTTCTCCTGTGAAAATGAAAATTGATTCAGGGCTGCCATTGTGCAACTCTAAGACATAAAACAGCATGTTAAGTATGAAGACCACCTGGGACAGAGGCTGCAAGCAGTGTTTCAGCCTGAGAAAATTGAAGATGAAAGTACCCTGGCACAGAATACACCAGAGACAAGGGTTTCTATTGGAAACAGACTATTAGATGAATAGAAAGTTGACTACAGAAAATATAAAATAGAAGCTCTGTTTAAAAGATAAAGCTTAAAATTAATTGGTTCCATATCAAGAAGATCCTTGAATACTGTGATTAGGAAGCAGCTTGTAATTTGACAAAAAAGCGAACAACTGAGTGCTCACTTTTTTCCAATTCTAAAAATATGTCCATCTATTACAGATATGCCTAATTTCATAAAAAAAATACTAATGGGTGTAAAAATCACAGATTATTCCCAACATAGTGAGAGTAACTGATAGTGAGCAACTTCAATATCCCACTCTCACAATAAATAGGTTATTTGGACAAAAAATAAACAGAGAAACATTGGAGATAAATGATATCATAAATCAAATGGACCTCTACAGAACATTACACTTAAATACTGAATACACATACTTCTCTTCAGGTCATGGAACTTTAACTAAAAATTATTATATTTTAGAACACAAAGCAAGTCTCAACAAATATAGGAAAATAGAAATAACATCTTATATTCCATTTGACCACAATAAAATAAGGCTAGATATCAACAGCAATAGAAACTGCAGGAAATGCATAAATTCATGGAGAATAACACACTATTGACTGTCTGTGGGTCAGATTAATTCCAGAAGGAAATGAAAAAAATCTAAGAATGTTATATAAATGAAGACAAAGCATATTATAACATGTGCAGTGTAATGAAGGCTGTCCTAAGAGGAACATTTATAGCACTAAATGCCTACATCAAAAAACTTAAGAGATTTCAAATAAATGAATTGATAACCTTAACACAGCAGTTCTCAACCTGTGGGTAGCAACCTCTTTGGGGGTCACATATCAGATATCCTGCATATCAGATATTTATATTACAATTCATAACAGTAGCAAAATTACAGTTATGAAGTAGCAATGAAGCAATCTTATGGTTGGGGGGGTCACCACAACATGAAGAACTTTATTAAAGGGTCATAGCATTAGGAAGGTTGAGAACCCCTGCCTTGAAGCCTTGGAAAACTACAAACAAAACAAACCCAACAACAGTAGATGAGAAGATATAATCAAAATAAGGAAAGAAATCAACAAACACACACAAAAATGAATTAATGAAGTGAGATGATTCTTTAAATGATAAACAAGATTGACAAATTCTTAGCCAAATTAACCAAAGGGAGAGAGAAGACTCAAAACAATAAAATTAGAAGAAATGGGAGATGTTAAAAAGACATCAACAGAATTCTGAAAATCATGAGGACAGAACTTAAAATCCCATAGTTTACTAAATCATAAACTCAAAAGAAATGGATGAATTTATAAAGAATATAACACAATAAAGTTAAACCCAGATGAAATAAACAGATAAACAACAAGCAATGAAATTGAAGAAGTAATCAAAATTTTCCCAACTAATACAACAACCAAAAAAGAAGACCAAATGTATTCCCTGCAGAATTCTACCAGACCTTCAAAGAAGAATTATTGCAAATACTACTCAAATTATTTCTTAAAATATAAAAAGAAAGCAAGCTTTCAAACTCTCTTTAATGAAGACAATATTACATGAATACAAAAACTAGATAAATCGTTAAAAAGAAAATTACAGACCAATCTCCCTGATGAACATAGTCAAAAATTCTCAACAAAATACTTGCAAACTCAATTCAATATCAGAACTATGATTCAACATTACCAAGTTGATTTTATCCAATTGATACAAGAATCTTTTATTATATAAATGAAATTTATTGCATTAATAGACTAAAAGATGGAAATTACATGCTCATCTTAACAGATACAGAAAATGCCTTTGACAAAACCAAGAAATTTTCAGGTAAACAGATGTAATTGGAAAAAACTTAAAATGAATGAGGTAACTCATGCCCAGCAAGGCAAATAGTATGTTACTGCTCATGTATAGGTACTAACTTCAATTTTTTTGAGTGTTTAACTTGAAGCACAAGTGGAAGCCAAGAAATTAGAAAGGGGCCTTTGAGGTGGACATACTAAGGGAGGACCATAATAAATTATAGGTAAAATGAAAATAGAGAGGTGAAATTCTGGTGGCAAAAACATAAGCAGGAAAAGGTACAGGAGTATGGGAGAAATTATGGGGTAGGATGGATGGCTAACTCAAAAGAAGGATGTATAAAAAGTTATAAATAAGCATACTATCTTATAAATCGTAATAGGTTAGATAGTAGAATATATGTGAAATGAAAATAAGAAGGGTTGA